GTCATTTATAATCATTCATTAACTTGTTAGTTACAACCAATTAATGAGGAAAACAAAAAAGCATGATCTGATGTTTAATTTGTACGACAGAGTAGCTGATGCTCAGTGGTGACGAGGCCTCTCCACAGACACACACCTCTCTCTCTGTATCTGTGTGTTGCTGTCAATCTCACATAAACATATGCGGCTCTTGGCTGCGTGTCTGAACATACGTAGCTGTTGACACAAACAGGTCTGGCCGTTACTCTCTGAACATACTGAACATCTCGAAGAGGCGACAACATGAAAAGTGCTCTGATGCATTTCGTAGCGAGCATTTGAACTGCTCAAAAGAGGGGTGGGGGAAGAGAGGGGGGCTGCACGGCGCCCACGCTGCACACTGGCCCGACTCTCTCTGTCTGTGGCTTTTTCCCAACATGGTCCTGTGTTGCCTGGCAACCACACAGTAAACACGGTGGGATTCCGTGAGGTCCTGGAGTGTCACAGTGTGTCACACCAGTGTCACTGGCTTTCCACTACAGAGCACACGCATACACACTCATGTGTATATACAGTACATACACACATAAGCCTGGAGCATTAGGAAAAACAGGCTTTAAAAAGCCACAGCGTCACTGACACTTCAGAACAAAGGCTAAAGAAGTCATGCAATGCATACACACTGTATACAACGCACAAATGTAAATATATTAAATAGTACGGCTGAAAGACATTGAGAGAGGGGGGGGGGGTTATTGCTACCTCAGGCACTCTCTCTCTCTCACAAACACACACACACACAAATAGTAAATGAGCCGTCTGACTCCCACCCTTCTCTGGTGGGAAAAGAAAACGCCCCTTTACCCTTTTGGAAGCAGAGGGGATCCAACACACAAAGCACACATAAAATGTGCACACAATCACCTTCTAATGACGGAAGAGGAAACACTGAAGCTCACAGAAACTCAAACACACCATCTCCCTCTTCATTGTTTCTAATGGCTTCCTCTGCTGATCTCACTAATTATCTTAATATTTTGTTCTCATTGTATCATTAGTTTGATTGCTATGGACCCTCCCATGTGTCTGGGATAAAGTGTGAGTGGAGATGAAACTAAGTATGGTGACTACTGTATTTATTTAAAAATGTCACTTACTTTTATTATTAATTTCATTAAATAAAGATATATTTGAAATATCATCTCATTTTATATATTTCCACTTATGTCATGTATTTGTCATGTTTCTATTAACTTGAAGCACATTGAGTCTATGATTGTCATATAAAATGTGCCATATAAACAAACTTGACTTGATTATAAACTACGTAATAAAACTGTTTCTGGTAAACCTCATAGTTGCACATGTTGCATTTTATTTAATCACTTGAAATAATTATAAACATTCTCAGGCCCGGTCTATTGGCAGTGAAGTGATGAGTATTAAGCTCTGAGGTTTTCGTCACATGGAGTGCAGAATTAGCCCGTCTGAGTGGTTCCCCCCTCGCAGTGGATCAGCACAGCAGGGGAGGGATGGGCAAGAGGGGAGGGGGTGTGCGAGGGGATTGGATTGGGTGGGCGTTGGGATTGGAAGGGGGTAGTGTGGGAAACAATGCTGTCCTTTCTGCCCCGTCACATGCCCGCAAATATATTCTGGGCATAGATAAAGACTTTAATGTGTCATGTGCGAGGTTTTCTGTCTAGACGCACAGAGAGAGAGGGATCGGCAGAAGGGGGCATGGGGGCAACAGGCCGGCAGGAGGTGGGATCTGGGTGGTTGAATAATCACTACTCAGTTTAATTGTCTCCTCCGGCTGCATGACCCAGCGCCAGCCTGCATTCAGACCATGTAGTAATCTAAGTGAGTGCACTGGAAAGAGTGGATGGGTGTGTGTTTTCTAGACCTGTACTCATCTTGTAAAGAGTTCTGTTCTTTCCCCACTACTCTCAACATAGTCACACCTGGAAACATTGGACATATTGGTGCTACCTCTTTCAGGTTCAAAGAAAAACTCTTTTACAACTAAAATTTGAAACAATTTGTATTTTGATTTCACAAAAAGGTAAAACATTTGCAGCAGACCAACTTGGACTTTGAAAGCTAACAAACTTTTTTTTAATGTTTTCTGCTGATTTGTTTGAAAATGGGTGTGAGAGGGTAATACATGCATATACATTCATATATTGCAAAAAAAGAAGTTGAGTTAAGTTGATGCTACATGTCATTAATCCCAACGGGGGACATCTGGTAAAAAGATGCCCACTCAGTGCGTTCGCATGCATGCATATACCATTGCGTCCAGTAGCTGGATGCATCGTTGCAGTTTAGGTCTGGTCTCACAGTAAAGACGGAAGAGAAGCCTTCCAATGGGCTGTTTCTCACAGATGCTAACATAGTCCCTCTCTGCAAAAAGAAGAAAACAGGGGTGCACACTTTAAAAACAAAGCTGGTGGTTAAACACACACTTCAGACGCAGGTGAGCACACAAACACGTACCAATGCTGTTTCCCAGATCAGTGCACTGGCTTATATGGGGGAAGCGGAGGATCTCCTTCCATTTTTTGCTCCTCCCTTTGCGCTTTCCTCCTCCACCTGTACAGACGGAGAAAATCAAGAGGTGAATGTTGGAAAGTTAGAATAAAAGAACTGAAAAAAGTTTAGTCTCACTAGTCAGGAGCCAAATGAAAGGCTAATGGCTAAAAGGCGTGGGGGAAAGCGTGAGGGGTGTTGTTGTGTGTGGGCTCTCCCTGAATGAAATCATAGTCTCAGCTTGTATATATAATTCATAGATCACAGCCCACTTCCTCCGTAAATCTCTCCTGTCTCTCATCAACTTCTTCCTCACTCAGTAGCTTTTCTGAAAGTGGAACAGTGTGTGTGTGTGTGTGTGTGTGTGTGTGTGTGTGTGTGTGTGTGTGTGTGTGTGTGTGTGTGTCTACGCAGACAGAAAGCCTATTCTGACCAGCTCAGTTCCCATCAGAATCTGGGACTTTGACAGACTAGATTCCACTGCTCTGAATAATCGTGCATCAGCTTCCTGCAGCAACACAACACCATCATGAACAAAAATCACTTACATCCACATCATCTCTCCGGATCCATGAAGGAAACTTACTCTGCAGCCATCCATTAATCAAATTGATCCCGTCTTAAACTCTGACTACTTCCACTATTCCATCTAAACCATGTGAAAATCCCCTCTCCTATGATGGCCAAACTTGTATATCAGTGTTTTCCATGCGCTCCAGTTTGCTGTACATTCTTATGTAATGTTTGTCTCAGCTCTCAGTATGTGAAGACTAATGAACTGACAGGGATTTCCTTCAACCGCTCTGCTCAGTGGAAATTGGCTGTGAGTAGCTCGCCTAATGTGAGAGGCAACACTGAGAGCATGAGAGCGGAAGACGCAATGACAAGCTGACATCTTTAAGTAATAATCCAGGAATGTGAGACGTATGACGTCATGATGGAGCCTCTGAGTGAAAGCTTAGGCAGTGTCTCTGTCAATCCTCCTGAGTTACTGCCTCATCCCTTCCCTTTCTGCTGTTTGAAATCGATCTCTGACTTCGTCTTTAACACACTGTGCTGCCTTTGTCTTATCAAACAACGCGTAGACTTAAATTCCAGAAATGTTTGAATACAAAATGTGACGATTAGGGACTCACTCTGACGTGATTTGATGTCATGTTAGAACTCGACACATCTCATTTAATATCCATTATGATATGAACAGTTAAGGTAAATGGTGAAGATACTGCATATCAGGTACTGTCGTGAATAATTAGTTTTAGTGTTACTGTTTAGTTATGTATGCTGTCCTAGTCTTGTGTAAGTTTTGTTATCTTTTTATTTATATTTCAAAATGCTACAGGAGTAACTTTGTTCTTTTATTGTGGGGAAAAATAGAGCATTATAAATACAATTGTATTTTTAATATTTTGTTTCAACCTGTTTTAACCAAAAGAAAAACACAGGTAATAATTTTGTTACTGTTTTTATAAAAAAAAAAAAGGGACAAATTAGTACTAACTGATGAGCTTGGCAAAACTGGATGGTCTATCAGGGTTTGGCTGAAGAGTCTAAACTTTCTCAAATTCAACTAGAATGTCACTTAGCAGAGCTCATACCTCTGCCAAGGCCCAACAGTCCTCTTATGAAACCACATTTAAATTTACTAGATGGAGATTTTAATTTTGCTCCAAACCAAACTCCACACTCATACATATCAGTCCCTGAAAAATGTGTGATTTTCTTTATCAAAATCCATTAATTATTCTCTGAAACATGACCTTTCTCACAATGTTAAAGAAAGAGTTAGCCCTAACCAGGGATCACCCTCCTGATCCGAATCTGCATTCAAATGTATTGTCTTCTTCCCTAACCCATTCTGCATCTTTCTGCCAAGTTTAGTGGTAATCCATCAAGTAGTTTTATCGTGCTTACAAAAAAACAACCACTAAACAAAAGTGCAGACCAACTAATGTGAGAGTAAACTCGGATCTGCACATAACCTGAGTAAACTTCGTAGAACTTGTAGTTAACATCTCTAATTATGTGCTCAGTGGTGTGTACTAAAGTACTTGTGTTAACCAAGGCAGCTTAAAGTGCAAGAGGGAACTTCAGGTTGGATATTTAATATATGGACCCTTTGTCACTACTGCTCCCAGAATGGAGGTCACATCACCACAGACAAAGACAAAGCATGAATGTATTAATAACTCAAGTCAAAATATCCCCAGGAGAATCATTAACTTCCAGCACCTGCTCCTCATCAACATTACTGCAGACCAAACCAGCTTTAACAGGCACACTTCCTTATTTAATCACCACTTGCTCTCTGAAAACAGTTCATATGTGACAAAAACAAAACAGCACTCTCTGCTGTGTGATGCAATATTTGAATCTTTTTTAATAAAATCATGACGTCGGTCAAATGCCCACAGCAGCAGCCCTGCGAGCAGAGAAGGTCATTCCCCACGGGGGCCACCATGCTAAAAATGAATGCACTTGTGCTACTGTAAGAAGGCGTTTGTGGATGTGTCCACCAAATGGCGTAGCTTTCCTGTGAGGGGTCAACGTCATGTCAGATAATTGTACCAAACATCAGCGCTCCACCCAGGCATTCAACTTCCACACAATGCTGAGACATCCACAAATAATGTGGTTCCTTCTTTTTTTCTTCCTGTGTCCTGTTTGCTTTTCTTGCGTCTAAACCTATTTATTTTTTATTTTCTCCCCCACTCCTCATCTTCCCCTTCCTGCTCTTTTTAAGTTGTGTGTTCTGCCATCATCTTCAGCTCCTTCTGTTTCCTGTAATCCAGTGAACTTGTTTTCTTGAGGATTTCTGTTCTCAACACTTCATAGCGACCGTGGTTGCTGCCAACCAATGACGGAGCTCCTTTGCTGCTCCAAGCCCATCAACCCTCTTTGTTTTAGGGTTGAATGAGGTCACAGTTTCACAGCTTTATGAGCATTTAAACGGAACATCTCTGTTGATCAGTGGTTCCCTTCCTTTTCTGCTTTTCAACTAGTCAAACAAAGTCATCTATTTATGGCGTCTCATTATAATTATCCTGTAAGTCATCTATAATATGCAAATATTAGTATGAAGTAAAGTGAAAGGGCTTTCTGCTCCTGTTATCCATCCCTTTATCCATCCCAAACCATAGACTGTATGGACGACATGACTGCTCCCAGAAGTGGAGCCAGTGTCTAGATTGTCATAAATCTTGCCTTCTCCATGTTATTGGATGGGATATAGAGCCAGCTCAACACAACGAAAAAATGTTCTCAATGGTTTTGGGTTTCTGTCATTTACTGGCTATAAAAACGATTTGATTCTTTACTGTGTGTGGAAAAACAAGTTATAGTGTGGGAAAGTTAGTGGACATGAAAACTGCTGGCCAGTCTCGTTCAACATGCCCAGCTGTTTATCCCAGGACGGAATATGAGAAACAACGGAGACCTGTTGGCTGCACGGACCTGAACATCCTCACACAAACACACCCAGCCAACATGCAAATATTATGTAAATAAATTATTCTGCACGAAAAAGTGATGCATCTGGATATAACAAGTCATTTCCTGTCTGGTCCCTCTGTGCTGCATTGTTAGTGGCCATTTGAGGTCGTCTCCTCACTGAAGGGGAAATATTTCGGTGAGATGTAATAAACTAGATCTGAGGAGGAAGTTTACAAAATGGTTGTTAATATCAATATAAAAGGAAGCGCTGGGATTTTAAAGGCATGGTATGGCTCAGTAAGACTTATATATGTTTAAATTTCACGTCCAGGTCGGTGACTCTGGGTTCCTGTTTAACAAACCCGGACTATTAAAAGTATGAATATGCTCGTAAATGTCATCCATAAAACCTCTTGTCCTCACTCCCCCATCTAATTCTTTCTCTATTAAATAACCCTCGCTTTCTCAGGGTCTGTCACTTACACATGAATAGAAATATGCAGCGCGCCGTGGCTGCGCTGCTGCACACAGGAACTTGCCGGTCTAATTTGTTCCATGCGGGTAGTGTGGTCGCCGCCCTTTATTTATGTTTCTGCTTAGCAGCTCTGACATCATGAAGGCATGTCAAGTGAAGCAAAAATAAGGTCAGAGAAGGAATGACATCCGACTGGCATAACACCAGGGGGTTACCGGCATCCCAAACATCTGTGCGCGCGCGCACACACACACACACACACACACACACACACACACACACACACACACACACACACACACACACACACACACACACACACACTGTCACAGTGTTTCCTCTGTGACCTGTCTCTCTAGTAATGTCCTCATGCCCAATTTAACCAACTCGGCCAGTCCTGCAGGCCCCATCCGTCCACACATTCAAAGACATCCCTGCTTAAGCTGTGAGGTTATGTTCATGGAGTGTTGACGCACAAAGGACTCCAAGCCACAAGACAAGTTTGTAGCTCTGTCACATACACACACACACACACACACATGCACATAGGCATACAGTCTCTGAGGTGTCAAAAAAACTCTTACACCATCACTCGTGACATACACGTAAAAACATCTGCAACAGGATGTGATATGGGAGCGCTGGCAGAGAGGAGCGCTGTGTGAATATGAGCCATTCTCTACACCTACACTGTGAGAGAAGTGAGAACCAGTCTCGTAGATTTCTCTGACTCCTCGCTGCACTGGCCTAAAATTTCATCCCTCGCTCACAAACAACCGATCATGTCTTTCTGATTTTCCAACTCTCACTCATTCTCACATCACCTCCTTTGTCTGATCTGTTAAATGTCGGCCTCGCTGTTGAGTCATACCGTGGTGGTCAGCGAGGTACCAGCACGCTGAAGACAAACAACACCAGACTACCATACAAACGCCTTTGTTCTTGCAAATCCTCCCCCTTCCCTCTCACCCACAATGTCCAGCTGTTCACTACTGGGACTTCACATTAGCATAAGACCTGCAGGTGAAGTGTTTTTTAAATCCTGTTCCTGAATCAAGGAGCCCTGCACAGCGATTATTATCAGTAGACAGTTCTGTTCATCACAAAAACATCTAGATGACACAGTGTAGATATCGTCTCTTGCAAACACAGTAAG